CGTCACTTTTAATTCCTTTATAATTCTTTTTATAACAGTTAAATGTATTAGAATCCATTATATTATGTAGGATTATTTTAACATCAAGTTTAAGTATGTATATGAGGTTACATTTTTTTTTATAAATTTATGACTATGACGGCAAAAATGGTTACTTAATTTCACTGATTTAGTAAACTTTTATTTTATATATAAACCTAGTGCGCTGTAAGGTTGTATAATATAAAAAGGCCAATGAGATTTTTTTTCATTTTTTATATTATACAACCTTACAGCGCACTATGATATTAATACAAATGATATTGATTTATACAGAGACGATGGGCCTATGGTTATTAGAAACTCAACGAACTTCAAAATAGATAGAATTAGAAAGTTATTATATAAAGAATTTAAAAGCATGGGCTTAAAAATTACGGTTAGTACTAAATTAAAAAAAGTAGACTTCCTAGATATAACTTTAGATCTAAATAAAAATACATACACACCTTATAAAAAACCCAACACCAATCCTTTATATATACATCCTAAATCAAATCACCTCCCATCTATAATTAAACATATACCGTTATCTATCAGTAAACGAATTAGTACAAATTCAGCAAATGACAAGATTTTTTTGATGAGCATATCAATTCCTATAATAAGGCTCTAAAAGATAGTGGCTACAAAACCCAAAACTAACTTATATAAAAAATGAAAATGGAAATCATAGAAAAAAACAGATGTAGAAAATTATTTGGTATACTCCCCATATAACCAAATGGTAAAGAACAGATTAGGACATAAATTCCTCGCATTAATAGTCAAGCATTTTCCTAGTGAAAGTAAACTAAGTACTATTTTCAATATAAAAACACACTAAAATTAAGTTATAGCTGTACAAAAAACTTAGAAAAAATCATTAAGAACCATAATGCTAATATCTTAAATAAACATTTATACCAAAAAAAAAAAATTTAGACAATGGAAAAATTAAGATAAAAAATTGATGGAAATAAACAAAAACTATGTAACTGTAGAAACCCTCAAAATTGCCCACTACAAAATAAATGTAGGTTGAATCATTAGTATACCAATGCAATATCTCTTCGATTGAAAGTCCTGAAAACATAAAAAATATATATAGGTTGCATTAGCTATGAATTCAAAAAAAGATTCAACCAACATCAAACTTCATTTAGAATAAATAGATATAAAAATCAAACATCTCTCTCAAAATATTTCTGGCATCTAAAAGAATCAAATAAAACACCTACAGTAAAATATTCCAAAAGTTAATAAGAAAAGCTAGAATTTTATTTCATTAAACGACCCGTGTCCTCTATGCATACAAGAGAAACTATATATTACTAAGTTTATAAAAAAATAAAATTTACTGAATCAGAGAAATGAAATAGCTATTATATGCCGTCATTGTCAAAAATTTTCCTTAAATAATATATAATTAAAAAAAAAAAAAAAAGTCTATTGGAATGGCATATGAAAATATTTTAAACTTATATTTAAAATTTTAAAATTTAAAATTGTATTAAAAATAGTATTCAAGCATAAGCATCTTTTACAAATTAAATAGTTAAATAAAATGTATGCTAACCGAAACACCTCTATAATAAATGTTCTAAAGAACACTTGAATGAATCCAATAAAACACCTACTGAAAAATGAAATTATAACAAAAGCTAGATGATGTAAGGTAAGTGTATGACCCATTGTTCTTTGTACATAAATATGAAACTTTATTACTCAGGTTACATATATTTAAAATAAATAAATTAATTAATACATAAAGTTTACTAAATCTGAGAAATGACTTAGATAGTCTTGTAGTCTGTGCCATTAATATTACTTAAATAATATCTAAATATAAGGGTTTAAAAATTGTAAGTTACATATACTTTGATATGGAAAAATAATTTTACTTACTACAAAGTAATTATCCTTCTGTTATAGGTGTTTTAATATAGTCTATTAAAACTAACAATGAAAATATTTTAAAATTTTAAATTTGTAATTTTTAAATTGTAATTAAAATTTTAGTTAAATTGAATGAATTCTAACCTGTTCTTTTGCATACATATGAAATTTTTATTACTTAGGTTACATATATTTGAAATAAATAAATTAATTAATTAATAAATAAAGTTTACTAAATCTGAGAAATGACTTAGCTAGTTTTGTAGTAAGTGCCATTAATATTACTTAAACAATATTTAAATTTAAAAGTTTAAAATTGTAATTTACATATACTTTGATATGGAAAAATATTTTTTTACTTACTATGAGTAATTTTCCTTCTGATATAAAGTAATATAGTCTATTAAAACTAACAATGAAAATATTCTAAAATTTAAAAGTTGTAATTTTTAAATTGTAATTAAAATTGTAGTTAAATTGAATAATTCTAACCTCTGTTTTTTTTTTAAATAGTACTAAAAAAATTTTTATAAAAAAAGAAAAATGTAAAAAAAAACACTATAAAAAGCCTTAACCATTTTTGCCGTCATAGTTATAAATTTATAAAAAAAAAAAAAATGTAACCTCATATACATACTTAAACTTGAATTAATTAATACATAAAGTTTACTAAATCTGAGAAATGACTTAGATAGTTTTGTAGCCTGTGCCATTAATATTACTTAAATAATATTTAAATATAAAAGTTTAAAAATTGTAATTTACATATACTTTGATATGGAAAAATAATTTTACTTACTATGAGTAATTTCCATTATGTTATAAAGTAATATAGTCTAAAACAATGAAAATATTTTAAAATTTTAAAGTTGTAATTTTGAAATTGTAATTAAAATTGTAGTTAAATTGAATGAATTCTAACCTAAATTTCTTTTAAATAGTACTACAAGCACTAAAAAGAATAAAAAAACACCTATATAGTAAAAGAAAATTAATATGAAATGCCATAAGATGCAAGCTTTTGAATGACCCATGTCCTTTGTACTTACATGAGAAACATTATATTACTAGGTTTATATATAAAAGAAAAGTTTACTAAATCAGTGAAATTAAGTAACCATTTTTGTCGTCATAGTCATAAAAAAAAAAAAAAAAAAAAAAAAAAATGTAACCTCATATACATACTTAAACTTGATGTTAAAATAATCCTACATAATATAATGGATTCTAATACATTTAACTGTTCCAAAAAAAGAATATAGTAAAATAAAAATTAAAAGGAGAATATTTCAAATCGTAGTTAAATAAAAAGTATTATGATCAAAAAAAAAAAAAAACGAAAATCTTTAAATTTATAAAGGAGGAAAAGTGACGTTGAAATTTTTTTACCGTTAAAAATAATTTTTTTTTTCTTAAAAAGGTCCCTCTCGAGTTGCTGCATGCTCATTTGATTACCACAAATTAATTCTCTTCTACTTCTAATTTTCCATACTGCCATACCCCCATGGCAATAATTATGTATGTACCTGTCATTGCTGACCAACTTATCGCGATCTGCTCTTCATCCTCCAGAGCCATACGGTCCTTTCCCAACGCATTTAACTTGTCCCTCAACTGATCCATATCGATCTTTTCTATCAGCTTCATTAGTACTGGCATTTTATTCAAGGTAACATTGGGGAATCCTCTCACTATTGGCTCCCACAACTCTGTACAATTGACTAAGCTTCTGCCAATCAATTCCATAATTGAATCTTTCTCTTCATATCTTTCTTCTTCCTAGTAATAAGGGGGTAAGGAAATAGATATCCCAAATGCCAAACCACCCAGGGGTAACTTTAACAGGGATAATGGTGGTTTTACTCTTAGTATCGTTGTGGACTCTCCCCCACACACCCTAGACAAGCTGATGGGTTTCTGTGTGGCCACTGCCCACACCTTGTCTGAAGCTCATGGTAATGCCGTGTTTGCTAATACCTCTACTTGACAAGTTCTCTTAATTCCCTCTTTCTTCCCTTCAAACAATTCTAGTATGCACATTTTGTGGTTACCAGCTACATAGATTGAGCTCAATGATGTAGAAGTTCCCAGAGCATCATTTCTACACTTTCTAGCTGCTTCATCTGTTAGCAACATGAACTTTGTTCTATCCGAATTTAAAGCTATGTATTTTGTTTCCACCTTGTATCTTGCCACCATTCCCAAACTTTGATCTCCTTTGGGGTAGGGAATAGGTAAATTTATAACCTGATATATCTTGAATATACTCTCTCTATCCAACAACGGAATAGACATCAAAAGTAATAGTTTTCTATTTTCCAACAAGGTCACACATCCCAGTGCATTATAATATTTCCACAATTCTTTGGTGGGATATACTGATGGGGTAACTCGGTTTGTATTCCGAGTAACACTTCCCTTAAGTGACCCAGGTTTACTATACTTGGGGACAGGTATCCCAATGACAACATGTCTAACATGTTCCAGCAAGGTTGTCAATGACTGACTAGTTTGTCGTACCTTATTCGTAATTGTCATTAGTTGGAAATATCTTTTCTGTATCATTAATTACCTGTTGTCTCAACCCTGCCAGGTTATTTATTAACCAATTAATTCTGGCTCTATTCTTGGCCACTTCCAACCATGTCACATTTAATATTGATACACTCTCCCTTGCCACTTGAGCCAGCGTCCTCTGGTTTATTTCCACTTCTCCCAGTTTTCTTCTTATGAATTTAACATCATCTTCTGTCACTGTTCCAAACAGGACATTTAACGCTTTTCCCACAATCGGAACTACCGATCTCTCTTCTATCGTCTGCAGTAGCTCTATTTCCTTCAGGTAATTTTGCATGTCTCTCCATTGAGCCTCTATCATAGTGGCCTCCGATTCTAGGGAATGTAATAATCTGAGATATCCTTTCTCCTTGGAATAATCTTGCTCTACCTTCAACCGGGCTGCATCCAGCTGCCTTAGCTCATTTCTTAGTTTATTTAATATCAACTTGTATGGTTTTAAATCTATCATGAATGTGATCAACCATTTCAACCTGGTTATTATTACTTCACTCATCTTTTTAAAAATGGTATTTCGGCTGTGCTTCCAAGCTTCCACCATCGTCATCCTCAGCGTGGCTACTATCATTATCATCATCATTCGTTGTCATGAGTTTGAAGCTTTCTTATTTAATCCTGTGAAAATATCTATTTCGCCCAAGTAAGAAGAAAAACTGAATAATGAAAGATCAACATGAAGGTGTTTCCCTCCCAAGTATTTTATTTTATACTTGTAGCAATTTTAATAAAATATTTGCTGAAATTATATATTTATAATTAAAAATAAAGAATATAATCAGTGAAGCCAAAATGAATGAGAAAAATTTTAATCACTGATTTCAATTGCTGAGAATGTCTTTTGTTTTACGTAAAAGAAAAAATTGTGATACTTACATGAACGTCTGACAAGAGAATGTGCGCAGTAAAAATGTAAAGTGTAACTAATTCATGGTTTCATTTTTATTTTCTACTACTACTATTCGTTGAAATACTCTTACTTTCATTATTTGTTTTTAACCTGAATACTTTATTTACTATAATTTAGCAAGAACTGAATTGGAAAGAAATCAACTAACCTGACAGTAACTAAGATTATTGGGGATGTCTTCCTTTTATAGAGTAGAATGAAAAGAAAGAAAAAAATCTTAAAATACAGATGGGCTAAATGTTATTAATTACAAATAATAAAAATTCATAGTGTACAGTTTCCCTTTCTTTGCTGTCTAATGTCTGAATATTTGATGTTAACTAAGGTGTTGCATCCTGCATCCTTCCTCAGGCCTTTGTTGATTTGACAAAGCTACAGAGAATTTCAAACTAAACCTTTATTTAATCTATGGCTATAGATTGTTCTTGTTCCATGATTCATGTCTAAATGTATATGATCTAGTTCTTTTATTAGTACTGTTATACTCTGTTGCAATTAGATCTCTTTCTCATTCATTCTCCATGTTGCCCGGATATAAACAGCACTAAGGCAGAGAACAAAATAAAAAAAACGTTGTTTACTATGCCTTAGGCTCTATGCATCACGTCTGATCTATGAAATGAGTTCTGGCAGTAGTCAATTTTGAATGCTCCCACCAGAAAAAGAGATGCCCTGGGGACCAAACTAGCTGCGGCACTGCTGCTACCACTACCACCACCGCTGCTTCCTGTCAACATGACCTTGTCTCACTGATGTTTACCTCTTCCATGCTTGACTAAACATTTTGGCTATCCAGCTTCGATTTGATAGCATCTCAACCTTTGAAACCACCCAGTTACAAGCCTTCATTGTTGACAATGCTGTCAGCTTGGCAAATACTAACAGGATATCACCTCAGCTCAACACCTCCCTCCTACAAGCATTCATTGTCGCTGATGCTGTCACCACGGCAAATACCAATCATGCCAATTCAACATGACCTTAGCAACCCACCACTGTCATCTCAGCCTACTCTACTTTTTTACAAGGCGTTCTCTTTGCATTTGCCACTGTAGCCTCATTCAACACCTGACAACACCTCATCTCCTGGGCAACCTACTGCTGTCTCCTCACTCTAGTTGACTCATTCACAATCATTCACTTTGCAGTCACCACTACAGCCCTGTTCCACAGGACTGACCTACCAACCAATGAAAATAACCTACCACTGTGACCTTGATCAACTAAACATGTACCAACCATATCCTGTGACCTTGGCCAGTCCAGCACAAGAAATAGGTCAATCCTCAGCATTTCCCTTACACCCAACCGTCATCCTGATGATCAGCAACTGAAATGGGAACTCCACCCATCGTTCAACATGCTAACAATAAATGTTGATCAAAATCTAATCCTTTTTATTCTTTTCTTTTGTTACCAAATGCTTAATATAGCAGTACTGCTCAGTTATTCCTCACCCTCGTACCTCTGCCCAGTGCCAGAATTGACTTCCCAATTACTAGGGCAACAAAATTCACAGACCAAGGATTTAATCTACTAGGCTATTATCTCATGGTACAATTCCATGTGGAGAACTTGGAGCTTTTAATGTAACCTGATGGGTAAAGCAGTCTCCAAATTTCCTCCACAGGATTGTTTACAATGTTTTCACAAGGAAGTTGGTCCTAATCAACTAATGTTGGTAAATGTTTCAGGATGTATTAATATTTAGTAATATTTATAGGAAAAATGTGCCATGAAAAGTTATGGTATTTTTGGAAGAATTTTTGAACTGATTCAGTCTTTCTTATCAGACCGTGAAATGAAAGTTATCTTGAATGGCCACTCTTCTAGATCATTTTGCATAAATTCATGTGTTCCCCTAGGCTCTATCCTTGGACCTACGTTATTCGTAATTTTCATAAATGACCTTCCTGATATCATCAATTCTCAGTTTGGTATCTATGGTGATGACACAACTATTTACTCCTGACTTAATAAGTCTGATCATTTTGGTGAGGTCAAATTGGCTGATCTCAAAAATGGCCAACAATCCATTGTTAAATGAGGCAAGGAGTAGCTTATTAATTTTAACACCTACAAAGGAAATTGCTCTCTTTTAATCATCTGAGAGAATCTTTTTTACCTTCCATCAATATGACTGATGCCAGCCTTTAGAAGAGTGACTCATTGCTCCTTTTCAGACTAATATTTTCCACTGGCATTAAGTGGAAAAAGCATATTGAATCAATTGCTAAGTCAGCAGCTAGGAAGGTTGCTTCACTGTGTCAAGCTAGACAATTTTTCTCATTTGAATCACTTTTACACATTTATAAGTCTACCATTCATCCTTACTTTTAATATTGCTGCCTCATTTGCTCTGGTGTTCCTGCTATATATTTAGAGGTCTTACTTATTATAAAACGCAGATTGTGTGTGTGTGTGTGTGTGTGTGTGTGTGTGTGTGTGTGTGTGTGTGTGTGTGTGTGTGTGTCTGTACGTTTATATATTGGATCGGATTTCCTACATTTTTCAACCGATTTCAACAAAACTTCACAGGACTACGTAAAATTACTTTGCAGTGCTTCTAACAGCACCAAAAATTGGAAAAACACAATTGTTTTTGCACGAAATCAATTTGAAAACACGGTGTATCGCACCCTGCCGGAAGTTACTGCTGTCTACTCAAACATCCAAATGCCGTTAACTTCCGGTGACTCAGTGTTTTTTTTTCAGAGAACGATACACAAAAAGTAAACAAATGAAATCTAAACACACACTAGTCCTCCTAACTAAAAATAATAACCGGAAACTACTTTAAATACACATGGTGTCCAATTTTTTTTACTGTATTCAATAAGTAAAAATCATAAATTGTAAAAAGATTACAGAAAGGCTACTAAATGAATAAGATTTGTTAGATCATAATTAATAAACCCAAATAAAGTTAATATTTTTTGTATTAGAAACAACGAGTGGAAAATATATTCAAATCAGAATTCTAATTATGAATCACCACAAGCAAAATATGCATTTTTTTTTACTGTATTCAATAAGTAAAAATCATAAATTGTAAAAGATTACAGAAAGGCTACTAAATGAATAATATTTGTTAGATCATCATACTTATTACAAAACCCAGGTTGTGTGTGTGTGTGTGTGTGTGTCTGTACGTTTATATATTGGATCGGATTTCCTACATTTTTCAACCGGTTTCAACAAAACTTCACAGGACTACGTAAAATTACCTTGCAGTGGTTCTGACAGCACCAAAAATTGGAAAAACACAATTGTTTTTGCATGAAATCAATTTGAAAACACGATTAAGAGGCATCGCAAGAATGAAAGGGGGACAACTCATATTGAGTTATACTTATTATAAAACCCAGGTTGTTTGTGTGTGTTCGTTTATATATGGGATTGGATTTTCTACATTTTTCAACCGATTTCAACAAAACTTCACTTTTTTTTGGCAGGTAGTGTTTCTTATTGTCTTGCACATGTTTTTTCTTTATTTTTACATTCAGAATGCTTTAAAAATTCCATTTACAAGACAATTGTTTATAATAATATTCTATTCAATTGGTAGACTCATAACGATTGAAAACAATGTTTTTGTTTCAGTTTGGGTTTGACCAATTCGTAAAAAAACAAAAACAAAACAAAACAAAACAAACAAACTAATTAAGACATGCGTGTCCATCAACCTTAAACAATAATCTTTGTCAATTTTATTTTTCAGTCTTTATGATGGTCGGTACTTGATCTATCTCTTACTGTTACATCCCGGGCAATGCCGGGCTCTACTGCTAGTTCTTAATAAAATCCAAAGATGAATGTGCAATTTTATTGGTCCTGGTCAAGCATCTCAGTCACTTTCCTAACATGGTAATGTATCTTCCCTGCACTTTCTCTGTAAATACTTTTATGGTAATTGTTCTGATGAACTTTCCTCTCTGGTACTTTATGAATTTAAGTTCAGTAATAGATTGGCAGCAAGGTCTCATCGTCTTACAGTCAAAATGACTAGATGTAACCATAAGTTCTTTACTAATTGTTTCTTCTTGTGCACTTCATGTTTGTGTAAATCTCTTCTAGCTTATTGATTCACAGCTAACTTTGATCTTCAAAAATTTAAATGCAATGTCAATTGTTATCTTCCATCTTCTTAATTCTTGTTATTTCATTGTCATGTCTTCTTAATTGTATGTTTTTCTCATATTCTGTCAGATTCAGTAACCTTTAGTGCATTTTAGTGGATTTCTTGTATTGTTTCATGTAAAAGGATTAAAGAAATGAATGTGAATTTCAGTTCATAATATGTTAAATCTATAAGAATATAAGAAAATATAAGAAATCCTTACAATGACTTATTTTGAAATTAGTTTTCTGTTAACTCATTAGAGAGTTCTTCCATAAGATCAATTTTGCCATACAGGATTGCTAAGCATCTTCTTTACACTTTAAGCAGAGTTTAAGTGCAGTATTAGATTGGTGGCAAGGTTTCATCAATTCACAGTTGAATTGGCTTGATGTAACTATAAGTTCTATGTCAACAGTTCCTTTTTTTAGCTTCTCACTTGTGGAACTCTCTTCTGGATCGATGCTTTCCAGCCAGCTTTGATCTTCAAAATTTAAATTCAATGTCAATTGTTATCTAATGTCCTCTAGTTTACTCTTCTATTGTTCTTGCTTGTTAATAATGTTTCACTTTTTTCTTATTCTTTCACATTCAGTAAGCCCTTGTGTCCTAGTGACTCTCCTACTTTGTTTGAAGTAATATGATTAAAAGAAAAGAATATCAAGCTAGCTGAAAATGTCACCACCCAAGAAAAGAAATAAATTTTCTAAAATTCAAATCAGTAGTGAAAGAAGCAAAACATCCTTAAAAAATGAAATGTGATAAAACAGCAACCTGCTACTTGTTTTCTTAAAATAGCAAGGAAATGCAACGAATATTAAATTATAATGTAAAATCAACATTTGAATCAATTAGAATAACCTTTAATAAAGCAATACAAATTATAAATTGATTTTTTTCAGAAGAATAGAAAAAAAAGAACTTTTCATTCCTTTAACTTGACCATTCAAATCAGTGATGGAAGAGGAAAAAAATGAAAAGTCAAAAAACAGAACAACTCACTATTTATTTTCTTAGGTTAAAATATAATACATACTTTTCTTAATCATTTTACCCCAAGCAAGACAATAAAGCCACTAAGTTGCAAGAGATTATGATAAGAGAATATGAAAAAAGTAAAAACATTACTAAGGATAAAGAACAATAAAAGAGCATGAATTAAGAATACAAAAGATGACAATTAACATTCCATGTAAACTTTTGAAGATCAAAATTTAATAATAAGCAAAAGGTTGGAAGTGAGTTCCACAAGGAAGAAGTGTAACAGAAGAAACTGTTAGCATAGAACTTATGGTTACAGCTATCCATTTCAACTATAAAATGTTGAAATCTTACTTCCAGTCTAGTACAACATTTAAATTCATAAATTCTAAGTACTAAAAAGGAAAGCGCATCAGAAAAATTACCATAAAAATATTTATGGAAAAAGTACAAGGAAGCTACATTATGGTTGTAGAAATGTGACTAAAGTTCAGATGCCAAATCAGGACCCAATACATTACAGATTCTTCTTTGTATTTTATCAAGAATTTCTAAATTCATAGCAGAAACCCCAAACCAGATGTGAATTCAATTGTCAATGTATAGATGTATGGTAAATTTATAAATGTGTAAGATAAGATTCTTGTGCTAAAATTTGTTTAGCATGGCATAATGACCCACATTTCCTAGCAGCAGACTTAGCAATTGATTCCATCTAAGGTTTCTCTTTCATGTCAGCAGAAAATATTAACCCAAGGCACAGTGAGTCATTCTTCTGGTGGTTTGCATCAGTCATACTGATGGAAGGTAAAAAGGTTTCTCTAAAATGAGTAAAAGAGAGCAGTTTTGTTTGGAGACATTAAAATTAAGAAGCCATTTTTCTGCCTCAGTTAACAACAGATTATAAGTCGTTTTTTAGATCAGCTGGCAATTTGACTATATTAAATGGGTCAGCCTTGCCATTAAGACAGGAGAAAATATTAGTCATCTGCATAGATAACAACAAATTGTATGCTATTGACATTGGGAAGGTCATTGATGAAAATTAGGTATAATATAGGTCTAACAACAGTGTCCTGGAGGATATTTGTATTAATGTAAATTAGTTGTTGTTCAAGACAACTTTCATTTTGTGATTTGATAAGAAAGACTGAAATCATACCCTTTAAGCCTGTGAATAAGACCAGTATACCAAACCCTGTCAAATTCCTTTAAGATATACAAACTAATAGCATGAGCTTTACCATTCATATCAAAAGCTTAATAATATCAACAGTTGACCTAGAAAAGCCAAAATCATATTGATTGTCTCAAAGAAGATCCTGCAAGTTGAGATGCTTAAACAATTTGGAGTTGATTAGTGCCTCTTGTACTTTGATGACTAATAGGCTGGTAGTTTAGATGGATCAGACAGTTTTCCTGAGTTCTTAAAGATGAAGCTGTTGAGCCTATGAGAGCCACTTTTTCTATTCTGCTGTTATGGTCTTAGCAGAGTGTTAGAACATCATACAGCACCAGATTGATCTGCTTGGATGACATTCTTTCTTAGTCTGCTGGTTTTGTTACCTATTGCTATATACCAGTGTTTCTCAATTCAAACAAAACTTTTTTGTTTCAAAAATTATGTATATATAAAACATAAAAAAACTTGAACAGTTCTGAAATACTATAGGAACCTTTGCTTAATGAAAAGACATTTTCTAAATCAAAATGTCTGCTTAATTTCTTACATAAAGAAATAGGAAAAACAAGCCAAGTTACATTGCCATAAGAATCTTATATATACACAGATCCTTTTTGGACCTCTGAGGGCACTCCCCCCTCCAGACACACACATACCCCCCCACAGGTATATGTTGCTGATCCTGTCACCATGACAGATATGATCATCTCCCTGATTGGAAGGGCTGCCAGAAGGAAGTAGAAGTGACTTCTGCCTTTTGGTGTTGGGGCCTTCTCTTCCTGTTTGTTTATGTTTGTTTTCTTTTCCTCTTTTCACATCTTCATTCTTGAAAAAATGCATACATTGCCTTTCCTTCTCTTCTCCACTTACCCTCTCTTTTGGAAAGATGCAGTGAATCTGCTTTTCCTTTCTTTTCATTGACATCTGCCCCAGATTTTAGGGTTGATAATATCCTGTTCATTTCTGTTGAGCAAACACAGTCCTCTGCAATGTTCTTGTTGCTTTGTTAATTATTCATTGTTTTTGCTTGTTAATTCTCTTAACATTTTGTTTGCAGAAACACCATCATGTTAGCCTATGATATCATGATTGGTTTACTTAGCAACCACACCACATTTTGGTTTCCTTTTTCTCATCAGCACACCAACATTTTGAATTCAACCTAGCATCACAGCATTTTTATTTGGTATCCTGACAAATTTCTGGATTTATGTAATAACATGCCACATGTAGTATATTCTTCATTTAGTGCACCACCATTTTCGAATGTTTCTCACCAGTCCCAAGTCACTTGATTCAAGTGAATTCATTTGAGTTTAACTTGTCCTTTCATCATGGAACATAGCACACAAACATTTTCAAAGGTTTACCACTTGCATGTGGTTACCATGCTTCTTTTTCTGGACTACTAATTTAACCACATTTGATTATCTACACAATCACACATTGGAACATTTTTTTCATGTTTTTAATATTTCACACTTTAACAAGTGGTAACTTCTTTCAGTTATTACAAATCAACAAATGTACATATTTGTAATTAAGTTGTTGGTTGTTTGCCAATAATAAAACTTTGACCTTTTTATGAAAAACATTGCTTTTGTTGAAACTCAGTTTTTGGTGTTAATATTTTTCTGTATATTCTTTATATTAAGAATTCTTGATAAAAAAAAAACAAAAAAGAACAGCGATCCCTCTGTAGGCTGTTACAGATTGAATATAAAACAACTAATTCTGAAATTTTGAAAAGTTAAAATATTTGACAAACATAACTTGTTAATATTTTATTCATCCAAACATGCTTGATATATATATATATATATATATATATATATATATATATATATATATTGTTGGTGCCAATTCAGACTGGAATGACTGCAAAAACACTCTCATCCACAAATTTATCGACAAAACATACAGGTGCATTCTGGGATTTCTTCCTAATCAATAAAATAGGCACTTTCTTAGTCTCATCTGGCATATTTCTGTTCTTTCCAGTCTTGATGTCAGAATGCTGCAGTCATTTGTTTGTATCCTGTTTTGTGTGTTATCACCATTTTTAGTCTGTGAACTTTTTGCTTTATTACCATTACCATTGCTTTATTACCATTACCATTGCTTTATTACCATTACCATTGCTTTATTACCATTGCTTTGCCTTATTGTTTGCTCTGTATTATTTTTGTCCTGTTTTTTTCTTTCTCTTGTCATTGTTTATTTCAAACTTTGTCAATTATGTTTGTTGGGCATTTCTACTAGTTATATTTAATCATGGACAATTACTCTGCAATCATCATCTTTATTATTATCAACATCATAACATTAACGGGCTTAATGTTATATAAATTTAAGAAATAAAGTAAAGCTTAAAACAAAAATAAATGGTTATAATAAACCTTATAAAAAATAGACTTGAAAAACATAGGTTTCACTTCTCTAAAAGTGTAAATTACATCTTTTACTTTATCATATATAAAATAAAAATTTTAAAATGTTAAATTATAAGTAATTATTTAAAATTGTAGTGCATTTTTTTAACACAGCTGTAGCTGTTTATTTAAGCTATTGAAGTGTGCTGACAGCTGGATGTTGTTCTATGGAGGGGAGCTTTACCCTTAAAAAAATAATTGAATATAATGAGAGCTCCCTTTTATATATAATTTTAAAGTACTGAACTGAAACCTTACAATAACAACAAAAATTATAACAATAGGTCACATGTAAAGTGAAACTGTACACTATGCATTTTTATTATTTGCAATTAATAACATTCAGTACACCTGTATTTTAAGATGTTTTTCTTTCTTTTCATTCTACTCTATAAAAGGAAAACATCCTCAATAATCTGTCAGGTTAGTTGATTTCTTTCCAGTTTAGTTGTTCCTAAATTATAATAAATAAAGTATTTAGGTTAAGAACAGAATAATGAAACTAAAACTATTTCAATACATAGCAGTAGTAGAAAATAAAGTGAAACCATGAATTACTTGCACTTTGCATTTTCACTGCAGACATTCTCTTGTCAAACCTGTAAGTATCATGAATTTTCTTTAGCATGAAAATTTTCTGCATTTTAAATTCAGTGATTTGTATCTGTGCCATTGATCTTGTCTTCTCTGATTCATTTCTTTTATTCCTGATTATGACTTTATAATTTTAGTAAACATTTCATTAAAATTGCTATGAGTATAAATTATAATCCTTGAAAAGCAACGCCTTCATGTTGACCTAATGTATTCAGTTTTTTCTTGTTTCAGCTAAATAAAAATTTTCTCTTGATTAAATAGGAAAGTGTAAGGGAGTTATAACTGAGTAAATAATTATAAACCCCTTTACATTTATATATACAAAAATATTTGTAAGAATAAGAAATAGCAAGATGTGGAAACAGCAAAAAAAACTAGTATTATTTATTATCTGATTGTTAAATGATGTTGGAGACACAAGAGATAGTAACTGAGTAAAATTATAAGTTTGGAATAAAATGTAGATCAGATATGGATTGGAATCTGACTTAATGATAAGAGTAGCAATCTGTTGTATGTATATAGGGTTGTAGGACTTGGGGGTTAAAATGAACTATTGATTTACACATGTCAAGAAGGTTATTAAAGAATAATAATGACAAGGAAACACACAGGTAATTTTAATAAAACAAGATAATGAATTTTTTTTTATAAATTAACATGCTTGAAGTTGTTTCAGTAGTTTGCTTCAGGAAAATAAACCAGAAATTTTTAATGTCCATATTTTTAACAAATTGTTATGAAGAGGAAATGTTCATACAACAGATTAAATGATCTGACACAAAATAATATTCAAAAATATTTAAAACAAACTTAAGAGATCTGTCTATATTTCTGAGATGAGGTATTATGTACATTATTTACATTATTTGAACTATTGTCCTCGTCTTTCTCGCCATATTTATTACAACGTTTTGGCCGTTGTACATTCTGGCCTTCTTCAGGTGGTTGGAATGTTGAACTAAATCCTTTATTTCACTCACTGGGGTAGACTGTCCTAGTTCCATGTGCCATGTTTAATGGATGTCAGTTATCAGTTATCTCCTGCTAATTTCCCTCTGAAAGTTCTCCACTGCCTTAACCGGGTATTGAACTCACACTCTTTGGGTCCTGTCACTGGATCTAACTAACGCCTTTATCCACTGTGCGATGTGTCCTTGAGGATATTTTTGAATATTATTTTGTGTCACAGTAGATAAAGGCGTTAGTTAAATCTTTTTCTTAGCTCACCAGTCAATCTCTGTGAAGTCAAGGTTTTCATTGGTTCAAAGAAAATTTCACATAGGTTTGTGAATTTATTTTGATCTATTTCCTCAGCTTGCCTGAATTTGAAGGGAGTGGATAAAGGGAACTGTTATTATTTTGTACTCATCACAAGTACACAGATAAACTTCTATTTTTATGTTATAACAATTTATAATGAAAACTTAGTTTTGAAGGACAAGAATATAAAATTATTCATTGTATAAATGTATAAATGGGTCAGGCTTGCCATTAAGACAGGAGAAAATATTAGTCATCTGCATAGATAATTGTATGCTATTGACATTGGGAAGGTCGTTGATGAAAATTAGGTATAATATAGGTCTAACAACAGTGTCCTGGAGGACATTTCTATTAATGTAAATTAGTTGTTGTTCAAGACAACTTTCATTTTGTGATTTGATAAGAAAGACTGAAATCATACCCTTTAAGCCTGTGAATAAAACCAGTATACCAAACCCAGTCAAATTCCTTTAAGATATACAAACCAATAGCACGGGCTTTACCATTCATATCAAAAGCTTAATAGACTCTTTCAGCAATAATATCAACAGTTGACCTAGAAAAGCCAAAATCATATTGCTTGTCTCAAAGAAGATCCTGCAAGTTGAGATGCTTAAACAATTTGGAATTGATTAGTGCCTCTTATACTTTGATGACTAAATCAAATCCTCAGTTTTTTCACCAGACAAAGACTTGCTCTCTTTGAGGACATGTTTACAATTATTATATATATATATATTTATAAATTATATATATATTTATATCTATATATTATATCTATATATTATATATATATAATATATATATATTTATATATATTATATATATATTCATATATATATTATATATATATATATACTTTAAATGATAATGATATATATATATACTTTAAATGATAATGATATGTCGCTGTATTTTTAATAGATTAGTGTTTTTATTGCATGATGGTCATACTTACGATATAAGTGTGTATTGTATACCTGCATAGTGTTATTAGTGTTGGTGCAAATATGTATATATTTATTTATGTGTTGGTTAGAGTATTGGCACTGAGGAATATGTAGGTTGGTGTATGTATGTATTTATTTGTTTTTTTTTTTTTTTTTTTTTTAAATATATATATATGTGTAGGTGTGTGTGTGTATATATATATATGTGTGTGTGTGTGTATATATGTATATATATTAGGTGGGAAGGTATGGTAGATGATAAGAGAAAGAGGTTGATAATTGTTATATATATATGTATGTGTGTGTGCCTATATATGTACGTGTGTAATGTGTGTGTGTATATGTATATGTATGTATATATGTATAAATATAAATATATATATATATATGTATGTGTATATATATATATATATATATATATATATATGTGTGTGGTTGTATATATGTATATATGTATATATATATATATTATGTATGCATATGTGTGTATATAATGTATGTATGTGTGTGTATGTGTATATATAAATATATATATATATATGTTATAAAATCACGGCAGTATAATGGTTGGCCAGCATGGTTATGTTTGGGATTGGGTGCGACTGAGTAATGAATTAGTTCCTCACTGAGTGCCTCCTAATTTCGGCTTTTGCCATATATATATTTATATATATATATATGTGTGTGTGTGTGTATATGTATATATTGGTGTATATATATATATATATGTGCATATATATATATATCTGTATGTCCTATTTTATTGTGTATGTATATCTATATTTAAGTATATTTCTGTTTGTTTGATTGTGTTTATATATTTGTATGTTAGACTATATGTATATTGTGTGTGTGTTGGGTTTCAAAAAGGTATATTTATGTATCTATATGTTAGTACGTTTATGTATGTATTTGGATGAGTGTTGTTGTATTTTTATGTATGCATGTGTATATGGTTGTTGTTATTGTAGATAGATATTTTTATATATATGTTTATTTTTGTAGATATGTATGTATGTGTGTATATATATATATGTATTTTTTGTATATATATATATGTGTGTGTGTTGACAACCTATTATGTATGAGTTTGTTTGTGTGTATGTGGGGTATGGAAACTTTGGTATATCATGACTTTTTTTTATATATCTAAGTATGTGTGCATAAAAGTTTGTGTGTATATATGTGGGTGTATTTAGGTTTATATGTATATGTGCGTGCATGTGTACTTGTTATCATAGATATGTATATGTACGTATATGTTTATGTTTATATTTTTATTTGTATGCATTTCTGTATGTAAATATATATGTATATGTATATATGAGTGTATATTTTGTGTGTTAATTTGTTTTTTCCCATATATATATATATATATATATATATATATATATATATGTATATAGTTGTTAATTTTTTGTATACTGTTTTTCCTGGCCTAATATATAATGAAACTATTATCAACTTATATTGATTAATATATATTTTTATTGATATTTATGGTTTTAGAATTTTCGTTTTAATATATTAAATAATATTATTTTTAACCATTTTTATCTTTGTATATTTGCTCCCTTAAGTTATAATTCAATAAGTGGTTAGCATTTTTTTAAGTCTGAAATATTTATTGGTTGTGATTTCTCATTGTCTGTCATTGTCTGTGGATGTATGTATGTGTATCTATCGGTGTCTATGTGTATGTAGAGTGTATTCACTGTGTGTGTGTATTAGTGTTAGTTTCACGTCTCCTTTTTTTCATAAAGGGCTGTAGAGATGTTCATGTTTTTTCCCCAAACCTTTTTTTTTTTTTTTTTTTTTTTTTTTTTGTGTGTGTGTGTGTGTGTGTGTGTGTGTGTATGTGTGTGTGTGTGTATGTGTGTGTGTATATCTAATTATGTCTTATGCTTATGTATTATAATCTGATTGTGTTTTTTGTTGTCTTGACGCGTGAGTTTAAGACCACATCCACAAACTTTAAAATAAAAACGGAAATGAAAGGGAAAAAAAAAAAATATATATATATGTATTATAAAATGACCGGATATATTGTAGCGTCCTTGTCGAACATAATTTCAATGAAGAAATGAATTGAATAAAAACATATATATTTTTTTCTTTTCTCAATAATTTTGTAGTTTTTAAACTTAATAGTGATTAAATTTGGATTTTAAAATTGCCAGTTTTTTAATTTTAATATTAAATTTTATCATATAATTTTATAATTATTAGTTAGTATAAATTATTTTTAATATTACACGTATTTAAAGATCTGAATAGCTATTATAGCAGGATTTCGTTGTCAAGCTTTTGAATCTTTCTATACTTCGTTTTTGATTGGTTATTCTAGCTTTTGTAACAATGTTTCCCCTAGTGTAGGATCGTTAATTAATCTGAAACTTTTAAAACCATTTATTTTATTTTCAACATCATCACTTGATAAGACACAGAATGTGTTGAAACAAAATGGCTATTTTTGTAGTGATTTTATAACATACTTATGTTATAATTTTTTATAAAAATAATTATATCTGCTCTACTTTGTATTGAGCACTCTTTTAAGAATAGTAATTGTTGGTTATTGGAATTCATTCCGTATATACCAATTATATACTTATATATATATATATATATATATATATATATATATATATATATATATATATTATATATATATATATATATTTATATATTATTATATTATAAATATTATTATATTTATATATTATTATATATATTATAAATTATATATATATTTTCCAATTTCTTTGTGAATTTTTAGGTCTGATGAATTGGATCATGATTATGATTACAATGTACTAAATTATAACCATGGAATATTAGTGTTTAAGCCTTCTATATTCTTACTCTGTCCTAGACATAGTTTTACCTGGATTCTGTCCTCTTGGAAATTTATGTATGTATGTATTTATGTAATATTGGAGGAATGGAGACTTTTATCATACAGTCTCAGTTACGGTGGACTGGTCATGTCTTGAGAATGTATGATGACAGGATACCCAAGATCCTAATGTACAGCCAGTTAGATCAGGGCTACAGGAATATAGGACGCTTATGGCTAAGATAGAAAGACAAGCTGAAAAGCAACTTGTCAGCATTCAATGTACCACATAACACCCTAGAATTGAAGTGGGTAGAATGGAGATCAACGTGTTTTAGTGGACTCAGCAATTTTGAATCTGCTTGTCTGAATCATCTTCGGGAAGCGAGAGCAAGATCTAAAAGGTCAACCAATCTAACAGTGATCTCATCTCACAATCCTCACACTTTCTCCATATGTGGCTTCCTTTGTAAATCACAAGTGGGTCTTAAATGCCACTTAAGATTATTGCACAAACTTTCATAACTGAATCAAGAAGCTATCAGATCCTCATACGTTGAAACCAACGGGAGAGTCCATTATTATATATGTATATATTGACCACTAATATTATCTATCTATCTATCATATCTCTCTCTCTCTCTCTATATATATATATATATATATATATATATATATATATATATATATATGCAAGACTCTTCTAATGAATTGAGTCCTCTCAGTCACTGGTGTGTTTATTTAAAAAATAAATGCACTAAAATTCGCCTGGTGCCTCCAGCGTTAAAAAGCAGAATCTCTGACTGATGCCAATCAACTGGATTTTGATTCCATCTTGAAGCAATCGGATGTCTAGCCACACTGATGAGCTATGATACAGTGAAACAGTCTGTCTTTGGATGACAATATATATATATATATATATATATATATATATATATAATGATACACACACACTCACACATATATATACTAAAGATAATCATATATATATGTATATATTTTAGGAACAAATGCATAATTATTCTTAGCATAAATTTTGGCTGTTATTTTATATCAAGTGCTGTTTTATTATTTCTATCAGGTTGGCTGGACTTATAATGTCTTAGTATCCATTTAAAGTTATAAAATGCATTTAGGATTGCCACTTATTCTCTGTCCTATGCAATATATATTAATATTTGATAATTTGAAATAAGTATATGATAATGATGAAGGAATTTCTTTTCACTACTTATATTATTTATTGTATCTAATGTAATTATTTCTTTTAGACACATGAGTCAGTATTTTGGAAATTAAAAGAAAAAATGAAACTGAACTATCAAGTTTTAGAAGGTGTGTATAATCCTATGACCATTATGAATTTGTTACTATTGATAATATTTGTGAATGATAAAAAATAAAATAGACTAAATAGCAGTTTTCTCACTGGAACAAAAACTTACATATTGCAAGATAAATTTGTTGAATATTCTTTCTGTAAATGTATTTTATATTTACAAAAATATCTTTTTTTTACTCAATATAAATCCAATATATACACAATATTGTACTTAACAACCAAATAATTACATTTAAATTACATTTATGAATATTCTTTGCTTCAAAATTTATACTTTTTTTATGATCATCTTGATAACTTGACATTAATAAGTAAGCACTTTAACCATGAAATGAATATATTTTCATGCTTGTTCAAAGTTATGAAAAAATTTACAATTTTGAAAATATGAGAAATATATTTTTTTTACAATAGGAGCTCCTAAAGTAAAAGTTGGTGACACAGTTGTTATCAGCTTGGATGAGGAGACTTTGGAAAAGATGCAAGTTGGACATGGAGGTTGGAGTAATCATATGAAATTTGTATGTATTTCATTTTTTTGACTTTTTTTCCTTTTAAAGAATAAAAAAAATAGTTTCTATTCAAATAATTTGATAAAAATAACTACTTTTTAATGGCCAAGATTTACTGATTTTGTTATTAATCAAATTTTATAATTTTATATTATTTGTATAAAGAATATCTTGTTTCCTTGCACATTTTGTGCAATAAAATTTGCTGACTTTATGGTAACTGTTTGGATGAGTTCTTTCCTATGGTGCCTAGATTTTGAATTGAAGCACAGTACTAGACTGCTGACAAGGTCTCACCAATTTACAGTTGAGCTGGCTAGATGTAACCATAAATTCTATGTTAACAGTTTCTTTCCTTATTTGTAGAACTCTATGCTTTCCAGCCAACTGTAATCTGCAAAAATTTAAATGCAATTCAATTGCTATCTACTATCTCTTCCTCTGTTCTCACCCACTAGCAATAGTTTTGGTTTCTCTTTCACAACCCCTTGTATCTCGGTGGCTTTACTGCCTTGCTTGCAGTGAACTCCATTAAAAAAAAAAAACAAATATGAGTGATTTAAGAATGTTATAATTTCATATTTTTTGTATAAAGCATATCTTAATTTCTTTTTGATTCTTTTTGTGACAACTCTGCATCAATGAATTTGATTGGTGGCATTTTTCTCATTTTCTGTCTTTGTGTCACATTTTAGTAAGTATCACAATATTTAAAGTTTTTTTTATTATTAATATTTTGAAATTAAGCAAGTTAATAATCATACGTTGGTGTTCACTTGTTCAGTGGAATGGAGAAGATTTACATTTCTAACTTTAAATCAACAGCTAGAAATGATCAAGTTTCATGAAAGGTTTGTTAAATTCAGATAGTCTGAAAGCTAGGCCAGTTTTGCAAACAGAAAAGAAAAGTTCTTGAAGGAAATTGAAAATGCTGCCAAATTGACCTCACCAGGTGGAAGGGGAAGGTGAACCAAAAACTTCCCAAGACCCCAGAATGCCAGCTCCTGACATTATAACTGATGACTCTGGAAACGACTTACAATCTCCTAGTCCTAGATCCTTGTGGTATGCATTGAGCGCAGATGAGCAAATAATGCCACAAAAATGAGTCCATCCTACAACTGATAATACCGAAGGGCTAACTAAACTACCAGTGGAAAAGGCTGAAATGTGAGGCCCTCTGACACTGAATCTCAGAAAAATAACTGCTCTGAAACCTCTTCCAGTCAATAGGAAGAAATTCCCAGAAGATCCTGACAAAGTTGAACCACCACGAAGACTAAAAATAACCTACAAGATGTCTGGCTATCTGAAGAATTTTTTCACATATGAGTAAAACAATAATCAGGGAAGAATGTGATAATAATGAACCTATCTCATATTACGCATTTCAATACTAACCACCCTGTATAATTTAATGTTTAATTTCTAACAATTCAGTTTAGCTGAATGAAGCTTCTTAAGTTTATTTTTGGCGTTGTTTATTTATTACAATTGGATAAAAAATCCTTTCAAGAAATTACTGTTGCTTATGTTTTGGGTACAGACCAAAACTAACAGATATAGATTTGAAGAAGTCCCAATGAGAAATGTGCTTTTCTTGAATAGATCATTCAAACCTTGCCCTGTCACCAGTACTGGTGCAAGGGTCTCATGATCCCCTCCACTAAATCTATGATATGGGGGATTTAAATTTTCATAAAATAGTATTCATATAAAATACAAATTTTATTGTATCCTAATTATGTACAATAATGGATCATATGCAATATAGATGAACCATTCAACTAGAAAAATTGAAAATAGATATAATGTATTTAAATACAAATTAGAGACATATCATAACAGATCATTCCATTTTAAGTAAATCAAAAATGCTCTGTGACAATTTTTAACATTAACTTGAATTTTTTCTTGTTAAAAAGTTGAATAATTTTAACACATTCAACATTATGGATAAAAAATAGTGAATTTTAATAGTGTTTTTAAGAATTCACATGAGCAAAACAAATTCATGGATTTGAATGGGAAAAAACAGAATGATGTCAAAATCTGCAAAAATTTTTTGTCCTTTTATAGTCAGTTGTTCTAAGTTGATTTTGTAATGTATATAAATGTAGGTGCAAAAAAGCAAATGTTGATAAGATAGCAAGGGTCACAAAGCACTCTCCAAGGCCCCCAATAAGACTCTGGTTCAGGGGTAGTATGCACCAGCTGTGCCTTTTATGAACTGGTAGTGGCACATTTTGGCTCAAAAATGGATTTTCCTGGAAAAAAAGGGGCACAGATTTGATTTCTTTTAGAGGCACAATTTTTGTTTAGTAGGACTTCTTAATTTAGGCTGGTTATCATTAATTTTACTGTTTAATAAAATAAAGTAAAAAAAAAAAACACCCGAGATAGCAACTCAAATACATGTACCCACTAAAAATAATGTTTCTGGAAATAAGAAATAGGATTAATTCCATTAATATCTTTTTTTAAATGTTTTTTTATGAAACGAAATGTATCACTACACAGGTTTTGCTTTATTGTTCATTTAAACACACACAAACCCACACATACACAGGGAAAACAATCCATATTTAATCTGGAAATGATTTCTACAAGTCATTTGAATAATCAAATTGTTAGAAGTATTAATCAGAATTTAATTCAAATTTATTAGAAAAAAGTCACTCTTAGTAAATCAGATTTATCCTTTTTTTATTGAGAGCATTAATGTAAATTTGTAGATCACATACACTATTGACTAAAAGTGTGGTACCACATTTATTTTTTCCTATAAACTTAAAAAATGAATCAAGTTTCATGCCTTTAAAGAAATACATTTATTTTTTCTATGTTTGCATGCAATTATGCAATAATTTAAAACAAAGTTATCTTTTTCTGTCAACATTTGCACTGGTTTCTGCATGCCATTACAGGCATTAATGCAACTCATTTTTTGACATCTGTAATTATCTAGTCATCTGATGTTCTGAATATCATTCTCTAGAAATAATTTCCACTTAGGCTCTTTTTTAATACTAATCTGTTTAATTTTTGGCATTTTAATGGTTTTTGAAAATTAATTTCAATCACACATTAATCTCAACAAAATTGAATCTCTATCAAGCAGTGAAGTTGAAATATTTGTAAATTTCTGCTCCACAGTTCAGAAAAAGCTATCAGGTTGGAACAAAATTTCCAAAGCTCATGTAAATAAATTTATAATGCTTATAGAAAAATTTGTTTGAATTTTATATCAGGGTTTGCATATATACACACTAGGTGAATTTATTTATCCAAATATGCAAAATTATGAACTGACAGAAACAATTTAGGGTGGTCCCAGACTTTTGATTGGTAGTATATGTGGTAAACTATTTCTTCTTTTTATGTGTTTTATGGCCTATCAACCTTTTGCAGGTTATTTGAAGCCAGAAAATATTTTTAGATTGTAAGAATTTTTTTGTAGATAACGATGATTTACTGATATATGTCCTACTAATTAATCCATAGCTGGTAGGGAGAAGGGGTGGATCATACCTATCCTAAGGCTATTTGTGCGTAAGTAAATATAATGAACCCAACTGGATTTGAAAGTTAGCTCTCCAATCTATAATTTTGAGCCATTATTCATTCCATCATATGCATACCCAAACTTTCAGCATCTAGTATTCCCAAGCAATCACCGATTTAGGTACTAACCAGTGTCAATGTGTTTAACATCAGAGATCATACGGGATTGATGTTTCAATGTGATGTAACTATAAGCCCACAGATTTTATAAATATTAACCAAAAACAGCACTGGCTGCTTGGTTAATGAATTTCAAATGCTTCCTAGTAGGAAAATGGTTGATATTACTTTGACATTACTTAACCTCAGTGATCATACAAGAATTGGTATTTCAATGTTAAATAGCTGTAAACCATTTTTTGTATAAAATTTGATTTGTATACAACAAATCACTGTGAATCAGTATTTTGAGAACTAGCGACAGCAGCAACAACTAAAATGGATTGCACATATAACTCAAAGAGAAAATAATGACATAGTCAATGTTAACATTCCACACCACTTCAAATAGAAGGTTCAGAAGAAAACCCTCATCAATACAAGATAGAACAATAAAAGCAACTGGACTTGGGAAACCTGTTTTCCTAAAAAAGTTTTATAAATTTCAACTAAAAACAATACAGGCTACTCGGTCAACGAATGTCAAATTTTTTATTTGTAGGAAAACAGTTAATATTACTATTATCATTTTAGTTTAATACCTTGATAATGAGAAATTATCAAAATTCTCCTATTAAACATTTTCTACTGTATATATATCAAGAATTATAATTGAATTATATGAATGTTTTATGTTATTTTTTAGCTGCTGAAAAGATTTTTATATACAATACTTGAACATTGTTATTTATTCATTATTTTCATGTTTTTTCTTTTATTTTTCAGTATCTAGGTAAAAAAGGGAAAGTTCAAGGTATTGATTCTAATGGAGATGTGGAAATTAAATTTGAGAATACAAGTTGTTCTTTTTTTTTTAATCCAAATGTAGTGGCAAAGGTAACAATTTGCAATTTCAGTTATTTTTTATTTGCAATTGTATATATTATTGTGATTTGAATTTCAACAATTGTGCATCTCACACACACACACACGCACACAAGCAAATTTAAAATATAGAGGCATAATTGTGCATGTGTGTGTGTATATATATGTGTGTTTATATGTGTGTTTTATATATCTATACTGATGTACCTAAAGTTATGGCTTAATTGCAAGTAAAGGTAATGGTAGGTGGTAACACTATAGATCAATGTCATAGAAATAGTCAGATTTATATCAGCTGAGGTCTGTCTAGGCTACTCATAGCAAGTCAATTTGAAATATTGAAGTTTGAATAGGGCATGAGAATGAGAGTGAGATGGATTGGATGTTAGATTTCTGAAATTCTGGTGAAATTTGACATTCTTTCATTTATGATGTCATGAATGTCCTAGGAATAATGAATGGAAGGCTCCTACTCTTAAAGTGCAACATTTAATTGTAAGTTCATAATGATTATAACCAGAAGAGTCTGGCTAGAATTGTTTGTGTTCAGTGTTATTGAGCTTGCATGGGATTTGGGAGTAGAAAACCCATCAGGTGTCCCAGCTAATACCACAACAAAAGATGCAGCACTTCATCTGGACTTGTGATGTTACTAATTGGTCATTGGAGGACTGACAATATGTAATGTGCTCTAGTGAATCACAGTTCTACTTATTTTGGAATAATAATAGAGTTCAGGTGTTGCATAGATCTCATGAGACCATGGATCCCTGTTACCAACAAGATACCATGCATAATGGTATGGGATGTGTTCATACATTGCCCACCTTTGTGACTATTTTCACCTATTCATGGATTCAATATATCCCAATAACAATGATGGGTTATTCCAACAGGATAATGCATCATGTTATTGGGTAACCAATATTTTAGCCAATACAAGGCCCAAGGGCCATTCAATGTAGAGGATTGCTGAAAAATATTGTAAGGGATGGGGTAGGGGAAATAAGAGTAATATGAGGATGAGGAGGATAGTTATTGGCTGACCTTGGACTTGAAGAAACCAAAATTGTTGTCATATAAGCCTTCTCTCAGGAGTTTGTTCCACAAAGTAACAGTTCTGGGGAAGAAGCTGTCTGAGTAGAACTTGCTTTTTATCAAAGGAAGATGAAAGGAATGAAGATGGTTTGACACTATGAACATGGCATGGTCAATCCTAGCTGTGAAGGTCTGATTTGGTGACACTAAGGAATGTAAGATATCTGAACATCTGCCAAAGTAATAGCTATATAGCAGTGAAAAGCTTGTATTGTTTTGTTTGTGGAATAAGGGTTGCTGGGTGGAAAATAATTAATCATGCACAAAAGGCTGTATAAGTATTTTTGAATTCTGTCAAGGCTGGACAGTGAAGATTGGACAGCACCAGCCCGGATATAGCAGCAATACTTCATTCTTAATCTGATCTGAATATGACAGCAGAAGTTAGGTCCATGAAATGGTGTAATTATCATATTCACAGGAAATGAGTCCAATTGAGACAGCTATTAAGATGGCATGGCTTAATATTTTTCCAGAGGTCTTCCAACCATTTGTGGAATTGATGCCAAGAGCTTCTACATGATACTAGATACCTATCCCATGACTTTTGGCTTGCCAGTGTGTGTGTCTATATGTGAATACATATATCTATGTCATATTTTTGGATTTCAGAGAGTTTTCTTAGTGAAAATAATATTAAAAGACTGAGTTGGTAAATATTCAACATATATCAGCAATATATCATGAATTTCAGCTTATAATACAGTGGGGAAAATAAGTATTTCATCCCCTGCTGATTTTCTGAGTTTGCCACCTTACAAAAATGAGAACGATCTATAATTTTCAGGGTAGGTCCATCTTGAAAGTGAGAGATAGAATATAAAAACAATTCTAGAAAATCACATTATATTAATTTTTGAACATTTATTTTTTTTATTGAAAAAAATAAATATTTCATCCCCTACCAACCAGCAATAATGCAGGCCTCACAGACCAGATATGTGACCAGGGGGCATATAAACTAGTCATATTATTCAATTATTACTCCTAATCAAGTAATCATTACCTGTATAAAAGATGCTAGTTCACAGAATTCTTCAATGAATCAGAATCTAATCTTTTCACAATGGGCAAGACGAAAGAATATTCTAAGGACAACTGGGACAAAATTGTATACCTGCACAAGACTGGAATGGGCTACAAGATGATTGGCATGCAGCTAGGTGAGAAGGAGTCAACTGTTGGTGCGATAATAAGAAAATGGAAGAAACATGAATTGACTATCAATCTCCCTCAGTCTGGAGCTCCATGCAAGATCTCCCAACATGGAGTGAAACTGATGATGAGAAAGGTGAGAAAATAACCCAGCACTATGTGGCAAGAGCTTGTTGATGATCTCAAGGCAGCAGGGACCACAGTCACCAAGATGACCATTAGTAACATACTATGTTATAGTGGACTGAAATCATGTAGTGCCCACAAAGTCTCCCTATGGAAGAAGGCACATGTACATGCCCATTAGAAGTTTGAAAATGAGCACCTGGATGATTCAGAGGAGTGCTGGGAGAAAATGCTGTGGTCAGATGAGACTAAAATTGAGCTTTATGGAATCAACTCGACTCCCTGTGTTTGGAGGAAAAAAAGCTGACTTGGACCCCAACAACACCATCCCAACCATTAAGCATGGTGGTGGAAACATTATGCTTTATGGCTGTTTCTCTGCTAAGGGGACAGGACGACTACACTGGGTTAAGGGAAAGATGGATGGAACCAAATACAGGGAAATCTTGAATGAAAACCTCCTTGCCTCAGCCAGGACACTGAAGATGGGTCATGGATGGGTGTTCCAACACGACAATGACCCAAGACAACAAAGAAGTGGCTCAAGAAGAAGCACATTAAGGTAATGGAGTGGCCTAGTCAGTCTCCGGACCTTAATCCTTTAGAGAATCTGTGGAGGGAGCTGAAGTTTCGAGTTGTCCAATGACAAACCTACAAAACTTAAGGATGTAGTGGAAGCCTGGTTGCCTAGTGTGGTTTCCTTTTGTATGACCTTGTGTCAGACCACCAGACTCCCATGTACAAGTGTAGTTTATACTCTTTTAGGGTATCAACGGTTCTTGACAAGGTTAGCAACAATAGAGAATGAACAAACATGAATGGTGTATGAAGCCATAACAAGTATAAGTTTATTTAATAACAAACTGACAGGATGAAGGAGGAAAGAATGCGGTGTTGAGTGAGTTCCTGGTTTCTGGATAGTACGTCTGAGAAATCTGTGAAATGTGCAGTTGATCTTGAGGTTGAACGTTATTGCGCACCAAATTGTAATGGTTGGTGTCAAATGTTCCCTGAAGAGGAAATGAGTCGGAGATGTGGGAAAGATTAATTGTAAGAATCTCCTTTTTTTTTTTAATAAATGGTACAAGGGAGGCAACTTGTCTATGAATGTTTTTTTGTAGGACATATATTTACCGAATTGTACTTGCTTGTTTAGGAGTGAAGAATTGAAGAAGAATCAATGGAGAGTTAAAAACAGATTAACATGGAAGATCATGAAACTCAGACATGAGTTCGAGCAGGATAGAATCACAGAGTCTATAAGTTGCAAGAGAAATGTTCATCAACATAGAATGAAGTATAGACCAAGGGAAAGATCCAGAAAATACAAGTACCATATGTGGAGGTTCATGGGTTCTTAACTTACTTGTTGCTTTGGATGAGAGGTAAGGTTCGCTTCATGTTGTGGCAACAATTGTTTAAAAGATGCTAGGTTGCCTGCCATCGGTGAGTTAACGGTGAGAGAATGGCTATGTGTTGATAGAAAAATGAATTCTTTTACATGTGATGATCTTTCGACGTAGAGGGATGTAAGTATGTAGAACTTGGACTTTTGCTGTCGCTGTAGTTGACAAGTGGAGATCCTGGAAGAGTTTGTGATAAATGCTTGTTGCTTTTCTTTTTTTGGAAGAGAATCTCATATTATTTAGGAAAGTCGGAAGATTGGGCTAGAATCGAGTCAGGGATGGTGAAGGTAGCTTCAGGCAAAGAAGTTGATTATAAAAGATCTAATATCAATGTCTAGGTGTTTGAGCCGTATGGTGAAGAGAGAGATGGGAAACACGTCTTCTTGTCTTGATGCCCGCAGATCGTCTGTCCGCCGGGACCTTAACGGTTGCTACTACCCTGGGTCAGGTTGAATCTGGTGACAACATGAATTAAGAGGTAGTTCCATGCTCCTCAGTATCACCAATCTCCCAATCAGAGGCCTTGCTGCCAGATGTAGTTTATTGTCATACCCAGAACCTTGTTTTAGGAATGTCAGGTTTTATTATTTAAGGTACAACATGTAAATTTTCCTTTGTCAATAAATTCAAAATATATAGGTCATAGGAACATTGATTCATACAATATCCTACAATACATAAAATAATACAATAAGAACTTATTCAGATATAATATGTGAATAAGTTATTATTGTATTATTTTATATGTTAATATAGCCTCTTTGACATTGTAAACTTTCATTAGTCTTTCATTTATTCATTTTGTTAAATTTTCTACTGTTCCAGTTTTAACTTGTTTTGTTTTCTTTCTGTTTTTTTATTACCCAGATATCTTTGTTTGAATACTGCTTTTCCTTCTCATATATGCATCACTTTATATGATGTTTTACAATTATTCTGTTGGATTAATATCTGGTGATACTGGAGAACATTTAATTTAGTGACATTGGAAGTTTTTAAATCCTTTATCTGAAATTCAGAGGACTGGAAGTGCTTTGATTTTCAGATGTTTTTTTGATTTTGGAATACAGCCTATTTAATATAGCATCTATAAAATGGGTTAGCTTGAAAATAGAACCAAAGCATAAACACAATATCCCTTTACATTTCATAACAGTTTATACATATATCCTGAAAGCAGTTTTATATAAATAACATACACCATGAAAATGGTTTTATTTTTATGAACATATAGATACAAGTAATGATGCTAGTCACATATGGCTCACATGGATTTTAAGTAGTGAAATTAAAATTTCATGTAAAAATAATGTTTTGTACTTTTTGTATATCTACTAAAAACATGATCACTACTTACAAAAAATATATATAAATGCAACACCAAACACTACTTATACATCAGGTGTGAAAACTGGAGGAGAGGGTACATCACCAATGTGAATGTGAGAAGGAAAATTCAGTAAGCTATCTGTCTTTACCAATGATGTAGTGTTTTGATTAAATATTACAATATATACAGGTATAGTATTTGTATAAAACAAAATATAATTTCTGATTACAGTTAGATGCAATTAAAACTGAAAATGAAAAAGTCAGCAATAATCATACGAGAGGTAGCCATGTAGCTTTTCTTAAATTTTCCATTTCTGGCAAGTCAGGTTAGCACCTGAAAAACATTTGGATCTTAGAGGTTTTCAGATTTTGGAATTTTGAATAAAGGATACTCAATCTGTAGTAGAACATACACTTGCATCAAAAGAAACAACATGGTGCTACAATAACTTCAAAGAAGACAGGCTGAACTATTACTCACAAGCCACCCCAGATGTAGAGACACCAGAGTTGCTAATTGACTTTCTTCTTTTTCTGAATGTAGGCACATGACCAAGACTCTTCTTTCTTATCAGCATGTACTCTCTCTTTTACACATTAATATTTGCAGGATACTTTTAATTTGTATTAAACCAAATAAATGTGAATACAAAACATTTCTCCAGAACATTTTCATATAGTCTTGTAAATTGGCACTTTTTTATGACCTTTGTGTAGAGAAATAATTTTATTTTTGATTTCATTAAGTCTCTTTTAAGTAAATTTACCTTCCAGCAAGATATTTAAATAGAAAGAGCATTTTAAAATTGTCTGCCCATTTCTTTGTAATATATTTTGCAGCTTGGAAAGCATAACTGAAAACAAGTGTCTTGGAGGACCCTTATATTGTCTTGAATTTTCTTCATACTAATTTCATGTTTTCAGGTACTATCATTTGGAGATGCTGTAACAATAACTAGTCAAATTGAAAAGGTAAAATTTTTACACCAAGAAACATGGAATGAAAGTATGGTAAAAGTAAGTATTTCATTTAGCAGTTTTTCAAATAAAGATTATTTGGCTTTGATAGATTCTTTAAAAATTAATGAGAATGATTAAAACTTGCAAACCTGGGACCAACTATATTAAATCAAAGCTAAAATTTAAATTGAGAAACAAATTTTGACAAACATGGATGTTTGTGCCCACAATAAGATGGTGTGTCAAAAGGACGATTTTTCTCATAACATTGCTTTTTAACTACTCTTCGCAATATTTATTGTTTTAAAAAGTAATGATTAGTATTGCAATAAAACCTAAATATATGAATGTTAACTTATACATTTTCTTTGTTCTTGAGAAATTACAACAAAATAATAAAACAGTACTTATTTATGTTGTAGCATGCCTATGGATGATAATGGGTATGCCCCCATTCCCATAAATACAGTAGTAAATACTGTACGTGGTCTCGAGTTGGAGATTCATTGTGGAATTCACTTGACACATCATCTACTTGCCACTGGCGAATCTTATATGTGCTGTTCTTGTCCTAAGTATTATCGTTCATTACCAAACTTCATTTAATTATTCTATTCAGTAACCTTCCCTAGGTTATAATAATTTATTAAATTGTTTATTTACACTATTTATTAGATTATTTAAGGGAATGGTTGGCAAAACATTGGCTAATTGCCAATTGATTCAAACTTTATAAAATGGTAAATAATTAGGATCTCTTTATAGTTGTTCTCATATTTTAATAATTTAGTAAATGTTTATAAATTTATGAATTAAAAATTGTTTTTATATTTATTTCTTTAGAAATTGGTAAATTATAAATATTCTATTGTATTTGTTTTTAGAATGTTGTAAATATAAAATTATTCTTGTAAATAAATAATCTAATAAATAAATAGGGTTTATTATTTTTGTTGTAAATTCTCAAGAACAAAAAAAAATGTATTAATTCACTTTCAGTTTAGGATTTTATTACAATTCTAATCATCACTTTTTTAAACAACAAATATGGCTGAAGTGTGAAGGTAATTTATAAAGTGGTGTCATGGGACAAACCTTCTTTTTAACTCTGTCTTATTCTGGGTACAAATCTCCATGTTTACCCAAATTTTATTTCCAACACTGTTTAATCAGATTGTGTGTCATTTATATTTTATCATAACATTTAATCTCATATTAAAGACTTTATTGCTGCTGCTAAATCTCATGCTATGAAGGTGTTGAGTGCATGAGAGCCACCTTGTCTTTCCAGATCTCACTTTATTTTACTGAGAATTATATTTGCAGTTTCATGCTGAATGAATTTTATAAAGGTATCAATGCAAAATAGACAATAAAATAGGCATGGGTAACTTTTCTGGTCAGTGGGCTACATGAGATATGGCTCATCATAAGGAAGGCTACACTAATAAAAAAAAATTGTAAAGAAAGAAAATTTATATCTACCTTATCAAAATTGACTTGTAAAATAGAAATACTACAACATTCATAATAAGTATTGTTGTCATCTGCTATTTCTTTTATGGAATTATCTAAATAAATTAAAATAATCTGTTTAATTAGATTTCTTAAAACTGCACCAAATCATTTAAAGAAAAAAAATAGCAAGTTTGCTAAATTCATTTTTTATTATTATTGATATAATCATTAGAAAATTATTCAAATTTTCCTCTCATTATTAGCTCTATGTAGCTATGTCCAGAGTAAGTTTTCATTAAAAGTGAAGTGGTCATTTTTTATCTACAGAAGTATGTACCTTAGAAATGGGAGTAAAAGTTAATATTTTTTATTTGGAAAAATATTTTTTCTACAATTTAAAAATTGAAAATTTCATATAATATTATCAGAGATGACATTAATACATGTTGCTGTATGTGATTTGTTTCTAATTTATTCATTTGAAAATACAAAAAATATCTTTTGAAGGAAAAAATATATTTCTGCTCCAGAGAAAAAAAAATGAATGTTTCTCATTTCTAAAGCAAAATATTTTTACGCCTATGATTTTCTTTAATGAAAATCACAAATGATTTAAAATGCTGAGAATATTACCTTCAGCGAAAGCTTACAAAATTCAAGAAACATTACGTAGTCATTGTTATATATGTCGTTTAGTTAAACTGTACTGACAATTCAGCAAGCATTATAAGTAAGGGAGGTTACTCAGGCATATAATACTTATTTCCCTTTGAGACCGGCTTCTTTGAATGAGATAGAATATGAGTGAACAATTGACAGCGTGGTTAATAAAAACAAATTCATAATCCGGCATAAGCAATTTAATGAGAAACTTGTTTCTGGTCACAATTCTGCTTTAAAATTATTTTAAAGTCTGACACAAGGTTGCTGGTAGAAACTCTAATCACTGCATTAAAGTTTGTGTCTGACCCCATGGACTTATTCTTAGACTTATTATTAATCTTCATGCAGGAAAAACTCTGCTCACTGATGTAAGTGGAACCAAAAATGGAGAATAATCTGGCAGCAAAATTTCTTAATCATGGAAAGTATTGAACAGACATTGAATAATAAACTCTACTAATGGTAGGGAATGAAAAAATTTCCATCAATGAATGATCAGATTGAATGTCTATTAACTCAAGTTGTAATTCATCAGGTGCTGCTGCATCAATATCAGCAGAGAAAGATGTTAATAAGTTGAATTTAAGCTCAATCTGTCTGAAATCGTCAAACCTTCTTTCAAACTCTTCAGTAAAACTTCTCACCTGATCCTTAATTTTTGAACACACATTTGCAGACACTTTCTCCTTTCATTAAAATGAAAAATGAGTGAACTTGCCCTCACTTGCTTTTCTTGAAAACAAAGATACTTTTTCTTGAAAAGATTTTGACATGCTTATACATTTCATAAGCCAAAAGTTCCTTTCCTTGCAATTTCACATTTAGTTCATTCAACTTTTCAAAAACATCATCAGCTGCTGACATAAGTTCATATTTCTACTCATCACAGTTCATTTTAACAAGCTATCCCTTTCATATTGAGAAAGTGTAGAATTTCTTTTTGTAAGTCCCACACTCACTTCAGCATTATTCTAAGTACATTGTTGTGGTAGAGAACATTTCCATATCCTCCAATAGGAATTTGAATTGTCTGTGATTGCCCTGATGGTTTTTTCTGCATGCACCACTTGATCCATCACATGCTTCAAGTTAAGTGCAGATTTACACAGATTTTCTTGGTACAAAAAGCAGTGGAAAGACAAGAAAGTTTGGTTAAGATTGTCTTTTCTAATCATGTCTTCCAGGATTTTAACCATACCCACATTTCCCATATATTCATTTGTTGTTATGTTTGTCAATCTATCTTATGATAATGCACTTTTTTTCAATTGCATTGACCACACATTCATACAAATCTTGACCAGTTATTGTATTTTTCAATTAGTGACAACAATTCTTTGGAGATATGTAAATTCTCATCCACTCCATGTATGAAAATTAGTAATTGGTATTATTTTGCATGTCGATACTCTCATCTAATGCTAATGAAAATAACATACAAAATCTTTACTGGCATCCCACAACTGTTGAGTTAACTCCTCACTGATTATTTCTATGCATTGCACAACAGTCCTCCTTGATAATTGAAATGTTTTTGAATTTACTTTTCAGGCATACAACACTTGCACCATCCATCAGGCATTGTTTTATTAACTCACCACTTGAGAATGATTTGTTACATCTTAAAATTTGGTATGCCACTATAAAAATTGCCTCCAATGCAGTACTGTGAATTGATGATTGCTTCTTAAATAGAGTTTGTTGCTTGTTCAATTTGGCAATATATCCCACAGCCTTTTTCTTCCATTCTTGATCGATCATGTTGTGACCAAAATCCCTGTGTGTTTTGTTTGGTAGTGCCACTTCAAATTGTTCTCCTTTAATACAGCAATCATTTCCTTGCACAGTAAACACACTGCTTTATTCTTAAAGCTGGTGAAGAAATACGTGTGTATCCATTCTTCATTAAATGCACGGCACTCATCCTCAATTTTACATTTTTTAGGAGGCATTGTTCATAGGGTTGGAGAGATCATGTTGTGCAGATGACTATCAACAATAACTGTGCATGTGCAATATGCATTCACAGAAAGTATGTAACCATCGGGAAATGGGGTGTATATTTCTATGACATTGAAAAAGTTAGCTTCAGTTCAAGCACAAACATGTTAACTTTCACAAAAATTTATTGATTTTTTTTCTAATTTGCTGCAGGCTTCCACAGGCCACACAAAACCCTACAGAGGGCTGCATGTGGCCCGTGGGTTGCAGTTTGCACATCCCTACCTTAAGGCAATTAAGACTCTGAATACAAAGTCCTGTTCATTGGCAGGTTTATTAAAAGCCAAACCTAGAAAAAAAAATAAATACACATTGTGATATTAATGAACCTATCACATCCTATCCAATTTAATACTAACCACCCTGTATAAAAGGCTATTTAATTGCTAACAATTCAGTTTTGCTGAATAAAACTTCTTAAGTTTATATTTGGTGTTGTTTATTCCTTACAATTTATTCAGCAAAACTCGCTAGTCTGATGAAATTATGGAACTTGGAGAAACTAACTTTTTTTTTTTTTCATATATATATGCCAGGTCCTTTCAGGATGTAGGCAATCATGGCTCTTCATTTCCCCTTATCCCTTGTAGCTCTCAATAAGTTTTGTCCCTCTGCCACCTCCCCCAGACCACGTTCTGTAATCCACTTGCTCAAACCCACCAGGTATGTCATGCGTTGCTTTCCGTTGTCTCTCTTTCACTTTATTCGATCTGTGAATATCAGATTCTCCAGGCCCTCCTTTCTCATTACTTGTCCCAGTATCTTCAGCTGCCTCTTCCTAATGTTAAGTATAAGTCTCCTCCTTGTTTGCATCCTCTCCAAAACCTCATTGTTGCTCACATGATTGGTCCATGATATCCTCAGCATCCTTCTGTAGAACTACATCTATGTTGCCTTGAGTCCCTTCTTCATCTTTGAGGAGACCGTCCAACATT